GTTTGCAAGCTCTTGGTTATCAACCGAGGGTCTTGACCGCTATTCGAATTTTAAACCTCACCCACGATTTTAGATTGCAGTTTGTTCAGATGCAAGATCAATAGAAATCTTTTTTTGGTTTTGTTATTTTATATTAGTTCTGGAAAATCCACTGCTGGATTTATGCACATGATTAGCGCAGACTCCGATTATGTGAACCGCTGTATAACTTCCAGTTTTGACAATCTTTTTGGTTGAATTTAATCCTCGATGGATTTTAAGATCTCTGACGACCTGTCGGAATCCTACCTCGAAATTTAGTTAATTCACTTTTTAGTTTAGAGTTCAAGAATACCCTCGCATTCCGGATTTACAGATTGTAGAAGGCTTCTCGTCTGTCCGAATTCAGTATATTTTTTTTTTATTCAAACTTGCATCTGACGATATTTTTCCATAGCCCTATTTGTTTAATCCTCCTCTCAACAAAAAAAATTTATTTAATCCGTTATCATTTAAACCACCGACATGCCTGATATGAGGAAACATTTTGAATACACTCAAGACGTGCTGCCTATAACTTAACCTGATAGAATTATTTGCTATTTTAGCGGGATTGATAATGCCAGTTACACGTAGTACAGATAATATCCCGGGGTTGTCGGCAATTTCTGTGGAAGGGTGTGACTGCTCGATTTGCCAACAGTCTATGAATCACGTCTTTCATAAGGAATGCATTGAGACATGGCTAAAAGAACAACACGAGTGTCCTTGTTGTCGCCGGCTATGTCATTTTAAAGATTGTTTGCCTATCGCCCTCTCTAAACAGACTCAATCTTTTGAAGCTAGACCGCCATCCAAACATCGAGGACGAGGGACTTCCCGAAGACCAGGAACTAGAAATTGGTCTAATCAAGCACGCAATTCTCCCGCTTCTAAATCGTTTCTCGGCACCGAGTCGGCAAAGCAAAGCACGGACGCAAACGCGCAGAATTCGTCGATGCCTCTGCTTGACCTGGCTGCGGAAGATAGTCATCGACTTCCCTCTGCTACGGAACATCCAACTGTAGACTACGCTCGGGTCTCACAAATAGTCGAAGAAAGCGTTACCCGAATGCTATCTAACCTGGGATTGGATCGTACGAGCACCGGCCCGTTTCGACGTTCTCAC